TCTGGGAGTTGAAGTCCACAAGTCTTAAAGTTGCCAAGGTTGGAATCCCCTGGCCTAATGCTAACCCCCTTTTTTAAACAGTTAAGTAAATTGCCACAATTGTTACGTGAATCTGATTTCCCCCATTGACTTCGCTTGTTGGAAGCAGGCTGGGAAAATTACAAATGGTGATTACAGTGCAACTCTGTCATAAATACATGCCAGTTGTCGAGTGCCTGATTTTTAATCACATGCTGCAACGGTTGTAAATGCGAGGACTGGTTCTAAGTCCCTGTTCTTTGCCTTTGTAGCTTCACTGAATGAAGGATTGTTAAGTCGAGTACTATCTGTATTATAAGGTTGACAGAATCTTGCAAGTCTGAAGCTAACCTTCCCATCCCTTGCTTTTACGTCCTTGGCTTAAGGCCACCATTGAGCCCAAAATTTATTGTGTTAAGTGAGCTGTGCCCCATTTTATGACCTTTCTTGCCGCAGTCATTAAGTGAATCATTGCCGTGGATGAGTTAGTCACCTGGTTGTTGCGTGAATCTGGCTTCCCCCTGGTGAGAAGTTCGCAAAAGGGGGTCACCTGGCCCTGCGACACCACTACAGTCATAAATATGAACCAGCTGCCCAGGACCTGAATTTTGATCACATGACCATAGGGATGCTGCGAAGGCCACACCTGTGAAAAATGGTCACAAGTCACATTTTTCAATGCCGTTGTAACTTTGAATGGTCACTAAACGAACTGCTGTAAGTTGAGGACTGCCTGTGCTCTCTGGAAAACTAGGGAGGATCCCTTCTGCGACGCTGTCTCCCCTTTTCTTCCTTCAGACCATTGTCTGGTTGTGGCTCTTCTGTCTCCCACATACCATTATACCCTTGTATCCCAACATACCTCCCCACTGCTTCTAATAGCAATAGAACTCTAAAGTCTCTCTAAGCGGTCAGCCTCTTGCCCCCAACAATCTGGGTCCTCATTTTACTGACCTCGGAAGGACGGAAGGCTGAGTCAACCTTGAGCCTGGTGAGATTTGAACTGCCAATTTGCAGGCAGTCAGCCGAAGCGGCCTGCAGTACAGCACTCTAACCACTGTACCACCAAGGCTCTTAAGCCTCTAAGCCTGGGGGAAAGCCCCTTTCATATGGCTGTGAGACCTTTCTATTTACACAGGCCCCTGACTAACTGGGATAATTGAAAATCCAATTCCATACATATTTGCAAGTCCTACAAACCAGAGCACAAGGTACATCAATTGCAGTAAAATCCCGTAAGAGCAGATTTGAGCATTTTACAGCCTCTATGTGACATCCAGCCCTTTGGCTGTCTGTGTCTGCTTTGCTTTGACAGTTTTTTTTGGGGGGGGAGGAGGGTTTGGGGGTCAATTTACATATATGCATCCCTGCATGGACACGCACCTTTGCAGCCTTATTGGTTCAGCCCTCCACAACAGTCCCAGTTCCTCATGTGACCCCTTGGGAAAAGGAATTGCCCGTCCCAGCCCAAAAGCTGCGGTCTTCTTCTAAAAGCTCAGTTTCTATGAGCCACGGTGGCGTAGTGGTTAGAGGGCTGTGCTGAAGGCCACTTCTGCTGACTGCCAGCTGCCTGCAATTGGGCAGTTCAAATCTCAACCAGGCTCAAGGTTGACTCAGCCTTCCGTCCTTCCGAGGTCGGTCAAACGAGGACCCAGATTGTTGGGGGCAAGAGGCTGACTCTGTAAACCGCTTAGAGAGGGGCTGTAAAAGTGGTGCATAAGTCTAAGTGCTATTGCTGTTGCTATTCTGTGGATCCAAGATCCCAGGTCGCTAAGCCCCTCCTCTCCTTTTGACAGGCACCCGGAACGCTGTGTTAAACACCGAGGCGCGCACCGTAGAGGCAGATGTGCTAAGCCGCCGCTGTGTGATGATCCGGTTGATGGACTTCTCCTATGAACAGTATCAGAAAGCTCTTCGCCAGTCGGCCGGCGCCGTGGTGATCATCCTGCCGCACAACATGGCATCGGTGCCTCAGGATATCATCCGGGTGAGTCTCCTGTTATGACCGAGGGTGGCAGGAGGGGCTAAATCTTATGTCCGGCATTTGTACCCTCCTCCTGCGGTGTAGCCGTCTGCCGCATGTAAAGCCATCTGACGCATCTTTTGTTTGAACAAGATCCAGTCATCTCTGCCTGATGTTTGAGCCACGTCACCAGGCTGGTTTCCTTCATAAGACTGGTAGTCCTCGACTTGCAACAGTTCATTTAGTGACTGTTCTAAGTTACAACAGCGCTGAAAAAAGTGACTTATGACCAGTTTTCACCCATAAGATTGTCGCAGCATCCCCACTGTCACGGGACTAAACTTTGGACCTTTTGCAATTGACTCTCATTTATGACGGTTGCATGTTCCCGGGGGTCACGTGATCCCCTTTAGCAACAATTCTGACAAGCAGAGTCAATGGGGGGAAGCCAGATTCGCTTAACAACCGTGTTCCTAACAGCTGCCACGATTCCCTTAACAAATGTGGCAAGGAAGGTCGCAAAATTGGTTGAGGACAGGTCGTAAGTCGATTTTTTTTTTAGAGCCGTTGCAACTGAAGGGTCGCTAAATGAACGCTTGTAAGTTGAAGGCTAACTGTAGTGGTGAGCAAGGCTCCCCATTTAAAACTGGGGTGCGGAAGACGAAAATGGGGCACACGGAGGCTGCAACAGGCGAAGGCAATCCCTACAGCCTAAAACAGCTGATCGCCGGGAGACCGATCCAACCGACAATCGGCTGCTTGGGCTCATCAGGCTGTGCTGAAGCTGAAACAGGCTGTTTGCTGCAAGGAGGCAAATTGCTGGGAGGCAGAGGTCGAAGTTCGGGGGCGGCGGCAGCGGGGGAATGGAGGCTTCAGCACCATTTGGTGTATAAGATATTTCCATCCCCCTTTGGGGGTGGAAAAAAATGCGTCTTATACTCGGGAAAATACGGTAAGTCAATCATTGCAGTTGTTAAGTTAGTAACGCTGTTAAGTGAATCTGGCTTCCCCATTCGCTTTGCTTGGTCGCAAAAGGGGATCGTGTGACTCTGGGACCCTGCAACCGTCATAAATATGAGTAGGTTGCCAAGCATCTAATGTTGATCCCAGGACCCTGGGGATGCTGCAACGGTCGTAAGTGTGAAAAACAGTCCTAAGTCCCTTTTTTCAGTGCTGTTGTAACTGAACGGTTGCTAAATGAATGGTTGTAAGTCGAGGACTACCTGTACATTGCATCCCCTTGCTTCCGCATTTATCACACAGAAATAAATGCGGTAATACAATCCTGTTTTTCTAAGAGTTAAACATCAATCTGCATTATAATCTCTATATATATAAAAGTGAAATACCGCTCAGCATCATCACAAAATCTCCAGAACCGTAAAGCCCACAAACTTGATATTTGGCATGTGTGTTCTTTTTGGCTTCTAGGTGCTCACTAAAGAAAGGATTTTTCGAAATGACCATCAGAGCGTTAGTGTTTCCTATATGATAATTATTAACACGCTCTGATGCTAAGGAGTTCTACTCCCCCTCCCCACCTGAAAAGAAATCTCTTCCAAATACAAAACACAAGCAGAGGAGAAGAGTTTCAGTTTTAGTTTCACCGTACCAAGCAGCTGTCGTACTGAACAGTTGAGCTAAACCACGCCCAGGTTCCTTGCTGTCTTGCTCACACAGCAAATACTGTTTCAGTTTCCAAACAGCCCTCAACTCACACACTGGCAGGACGCTAGCCAGATGAATACCGATGGATGTTGGTAGGCAGAGGCACAATCCCCCCCCCACTCTTATTTTCTTCCCCCAAAACTAAGCCCAACCACATAGTTTTGGAGCGAAGCACGGGTATCAAGCTAGTTCCTCCATAAATGTAATGGGTTCTTTTGCAAGGGGCCAGTCAATCAGAACTGTCAATCAGTGGAACGGAGTGCTATACGGAGTGCTTTTCTCTTTCACTGGAAGTTTTCTGATAAGAGGCTGGATCCTACCATGTGTCGGGAACGATACACGTGGGATATTTCTTAAGCTTGGCCACTTTAAGACGGATGAATTTCAATGCCCCAAATTGATTGGCTGGCTGCGGAATTCCGGGAATTGAAGTCCACTCCTCTTCAAGTGGCCAAGTTTTGAGAAAAAAACTGGGGTAGCGGACCCTGCAATCTTCAGAAGGTCGGCCTCGAATGACCTTCTTCCCACTCCAATCCTGCGACGATAAGCCTTAGTTTACCCTTCTTTGCCATGCTGAGGTTGACTCCCTGTTCTTCTCGCCCGAAGCAATTCATGGAGATTGAGCCGGAGATGTTGGCCATGGAGACCATTGTGCCCGTCTACTTTGCCAAGGAAGACGATGAGCTGCTCTCCATCTATGAGCAGACCCAGGCCGCTTCGACCTCGCAGGGCACGGCCTCGGCTGCCGAAGGTCAGTATTTTGCGAAGTTTGGTTGGGCTTCCCAGGATCGCCTTGCCCCCCTGGGGTGGACCTCTCCGAAAGGTGTATCGGCAGCTCAGGACTACCTTGAGACAAAAATACAAATTAAAAAAACAAAACTAAAATAATAATTAAAAAATACAGGTAGTCCTCGACTTACAACCACAATTGAACCAAACATTGATACTGGATTCTGTTGCACCCTTTTATTTGTCACTAATTGTTCCCTGGGCAACTTTATTGTACCTCCACGGGTTATTGTTTATTATTAAATTTATATCCCGCCCCCATCTCACTATTGAGTCAATCTGAGCAGCGTAACTCTATGTACATTAATGACATAATATGTAGATAATGAACAGGATATGTATTTTGACAGAAAAATAGCACGTTAAATCAACAAATTGGAAAGATGACTGATTTTCAAGCATGGTTATGGGTACCAAGGGCAAGTACATTCATCAAATTGCTTTTGTTTTTTTTTATATCATTATCTTTAAAACAGAAACCAGGTACTCTAGATGGCATAGAGCAGTGTTTTCAATATTTGGCAAATTTAAGATACGTGGACTTCAACTCCCAGAACTCCCCAGCCAGCATTTGTGGACTTTAACTCTCATTAGGGGATGCTGGCTGGGGAATTCTGGGAGTGGAAGCCCACAAATGCCAATTGGGGAATACTGGGAGTTGAAGACCATATATTTTAGGGTTCCCAGGATTGAAAAGCCCTGGAGTAGACTTCAAATATCTATCTACCTATGATATGGGAGACGAAAATACAAAAATATTCTGATAGCGTAGCCTATTTCTGACTTCTTTCCTGTGCAGTTTCAAAGTTAACCAAGTAAGGTAATGTACAGGATAGATCAATGTGCTTAATCTTTTAATGGCTGTGAACATAGAAACCCCTCACTGAAGGGGACAAGAGTGGAGATGTTAGCTTAATTAATCACTAGGCTCCCTTTTTACTAAATGGGAACTCTGTAAGCTGTAAGCGACTAATTGGGGTTTCAGATGATGGACAAATACAGGTGTAGCCCTTAACTTACAAAAATTAGGGGACCTGAGACTAAAACATATGATGAACAGTTGCAGGAACAGGGCCTGGCTAGTCTAGTGAAGAGAAGGACCAGGGGAGACATGATAGCAGTCTTCCAGTATTTGAGGGGCTGCCCCAGAGAGGAAGGTTTCAAGCTATTTTCCAAGGCACCCGAAAGCCAGACAAGGAATAATGGATGGAAACTGATCCAGGAGAGATTCAACCTGGAAAAAAGGAGAAACTTTCTGACAAGGAGAACAATCCACCCATGGAACAGAAGTTGCCCTTAGAAGTTGTGGGAGCTTCATCCCTGGAGGCTTTCAAGAAGAGACTGGACTGTCATCTGTCAGAAATGGTGTAGGGTCTCCTACTTGAACAGGGGGTTGGACTAGATGACCTACAAGGTCCCTTCCAACTCTGATTATCTGTTATTTGTTAAGTTTGCTTAGTGACCATTTGAACTTACAACGGCCCTGAAAAAGTGACTTACGACCATTTTTCACACTTAGACTGTTGTAGCATCCCCACTGTCCCGTGTTTTACATGCAGATGCTTGACAATGGATTCATATTTATGATGGTTGCAGCGTCCCAGACTCAGGTGTTCCCCTTTTGCGACCTTCCGACAAGCAAAGTCAGTGTGGAAAGCAGACTCTTAACCCTGTTACTAATTTAACAATCGATTTGCTTAACAAATGTGGCAACCAAAGTCGTAAAATGGAGCAAAACTCATTTAACAACATAAATGTTGGTCTCAATTGTGGTCGTAAGTTGAGGACTTACCTGTATTGTAAATAAATGTTGCTGGAGGTTGGCAGGGCAGCTGCAAAATATATGTGATTCAGGGTGCCAGTTTAGCTTTCCTGGCATGGACTGTGCCCACTGTTGGCATCCAATAGATCACTAAATACACCCTTTGCCAAATCTGGGTTCAATTCAGTTTCTTTATTTCAGGTCGTAGAGCCAGCATAAGTCTCAGTGCTACAAATTCGCTAATAGAATATAATAGAATAAAACATAGAATAGAAAACAGAATAGAAAATAGAATAGACAACAGAATAGAAAGGATAGAATAGAAAACAGAATAGAATAGAACAGAACAGAATAGAAAACAGAATAGCAAACAGAACAGAATAGATATGGGAATATAGAACAGAACAGAATAGAATAGAACAGAACAGAATAGAATAGAATAGAATAGAATAGAATTCTTTATTGGCCAAGTGTGATTGGCACACAAGGAATTTGTCTTTTGTGTGTATGCTCTCAATGTACATAAGAAAAAATAAAATACATTCATCAAGAATCAAGAATACGTCTCCTTTGATTCATTTGTCCTCATCTGATTGCCGGGAATAACTCTTTTCTTGCCATTTGGTTGATTACCCTTCTGAGGAATACTTGTTTAACGATTTAGTTTTAGAACTAAAACCGAAATAATCCAGCTCCCCAAATTATACAATCAATGATCCAAATACCTGTTTGAATTGAGGGGCAGTTATTTTAATATCAAACAGTTCTAGGAGTAATCAAAAGACCGATTTCCTCTCTGTTATCTCTAATCACCAATTAGTTTCAGGCTGAGTTAACAGACAAGTCACTAACACTAAAGGCCCAGGATGGCTTTCTGTATTCTGTATGCTTGCCTTTCTTTGGCATAATCTGAGTACAGGTAGTCCTCGAGTTATGACCACAGTTGAGCCCAACATTTATGTTGCTAAATGAAGACATTGGTTAAGTGAGTTTTGCCCCATTTTTTTTGACTTTCCTGGCCACATCTGTTAAGTGAATCACTGCAGTTGTTGAATTAGTAACCCCGTTGTTCAGTGAATCTGATTTTCCCATTGACTTTGCCTGTCAGAAGGTCACAGGTGATCACTGCGACCGTCGTAAATACGAATCTGTTGTCAAGCATCCGAATGTAACTCACGTGATGCTGCAACAGTCATAAGTGTGAAAAACGGTCCTAAGTCACTTTTTTCGGTGCTGTTGTAACTTCGAACAGTCCTGAAGGGAACTGTTGTAAGTCAAGGACTACTGTACCAATTGCTGGAGTGTCAGTGCAGGTGGTCCTTGATTTACGACCACAATTGAGTTCCACAACTTTCTGTTGCTAGGCGAGACAATTCTTAAGGCCGCTGTGTCCCATTCTAGGACCTTGCTTGCCACAATTATTAAGTAAACCACACTGCAGTTATTCAGTTAGTTAACACGGATGTTAAGCGAATCTGGCTTCCCCTTTGACTTTGCTTGTCAGAAGGTCGCAAAAGGGGATCACAGGACCCCAAGACAGTGCAACCGTCATAAATACGAGTCCGTTGCCAAGCCTCCAAATTTTGATCTCGTGATCATGGGAGATGGGGCAACGGTCGTCTAAATCCCTTTTTCCAGTGCCGTTGTAACTTTGAATGATCACTGAAACGAATGGCTGCAAGTTCAAGGACCAGCTGTATTAACTCCTGTCTTTTAAACCCTGTTTTTTTCCTTCCTAGTTCTTTTGCACACTGCAACGGCCAATGGCTTCCAGATGGTGACCAGCGGAGCTCAGAGTAAAGCCGTCAACGATTGGCTCATCACAAGTATAGAAGTGAGTTTTGGAGTTTTTTTGGACACGGTGTCCCCACCCCCCACCCCCCCACCCTATGCTGGGGTCCTGCCTGCCATTTGCAAACCCAGGACCTCCCCAGCGCCTGCCTTTGAGCCCTGCTCAGCCGCTTTGATATCATTCAAAAGCACGCCAGCCGGAGTGCTGAGCCCATGGTTTCCGAGGGCCCTTGAGTTTTAAGGAGCAATTAGACCAAGGGTCTTCCAACTTGACAGCTTTAAGACTTGCGACTCCCAGAAATCCTCCTCCAAGCACGTTTGCTCAGAAATTGTGGGAGTTGAAGTCCCACAAGTCTTAAAACTTGCCAAGTTTGAAGACCCTTGAACTAGAAGGAAGGAGTCTGGTTCATTTTTGAAGCCAAAGCAACAGGGGGAAAGGATTAGAGCTTTCCAGGGGAGGGGTTGGCCTTCTTCGAACACCCTGGCCTAGTTGAGCTGGCAGAACAAAGGTCACAGCTAAGGATTTTATTAGGGAAGATACAAGAAGTATGAGGAGAGTTCTTTTTTTTTTTTTTTAAAGAAGTTTTACTAGATTTTTTTTAAAAAAATTACTTTTTACCCTACCTTTATTACTTTTGTGAATAATTCAAGGCGGTGAACATACTTAATATTCCTTCCTCCTTGTATTATATTTGTATTTATTGTTTTATTTTTAATATTTGTATTTATTTACTTATTGGATTTAACTAAGAACATCCAGCTGGCTTTCATGCTTAAGGTGGGACTAGAATTCAATGCCTCCTGGTGAATGGGCCCAAGGTAGGCTTTCATGCCTAAAGTAGACCATACTAAGGGCAGGAATCAGGAAAGGAAGCAAGTTTCAGCAAGTTTAAAGCCCTTTATGTGAGACAGATGTCAACCTGAAAGAAGAAATGTATCTTGTGCTGATCGGGCTGGGATGATTTTGCAGCAGCTCTTATTTTACCTCTTTCCTTGCAAGGGGCGGCTGACAGGCCTGGGAGGAGAAGACCTGCCCACCATTGTACTAGTTGCTCATTACGACTCTTTTGGAGTTGCACCGGTAAGGACTTGCTGGCAAATGTCTGTGTTTTGGCGTTCTCAGTATGACGCAGCTTGGCTCACTGATTTGAGCTACCTATATGTTTTTAGTAAGTGCTGTTTTACATTGTTGCAGGCATGTGTGCTGGATGTCAGAGAATGTTTTATGGCCAGTGCTCTGAACAGTAAACCTTTCGTTTAAAAAGCTTCATTTTGCATATTTTTGATGCAACAGACCAGAGCCTCTTAAATTTTAGGGTTCGTGTAAAATACCATTCATCATTTTAAACATATGTAAAATAGGTTAAAAAACAATAGATTTTTTTATTGGCCAGGTCTGATTGGACACACAAGGAATTTGTCTCCAGTGCATAAACTCTCGGTTTACATACAAATAACAAAGCGATAAGTCAGAGATCATAAATCACAGTTAAATTCATTAATCATAAGATGCAAACAAGTGATAAATCTTATGATACTAATAGGAGAAGGTAGTAGGGAAATGAGAAGATGAGAAGAAGAAGAGTAACAATACAGTCCTGCTACATGGATAAATATCCTTAGGCATAAGACAGTACTGTGGGAATTAGATGTTCAACAGAGTGGTGGCACAAGGGGGAAAAAAACTATCTTTTGTGTCTAGTTGTTTTGACATACTTTGCCTATAGCATCATCCTGAGGGGAAAAGTTGAAACGGTTTATGTCAAGTATGTGAGGGGTATGCTGGTATTTTCTCAGCCCTCTCTGGTTCGTGCAGTCCACGCACAAAACTCACTTAACAACAAAGATAGAATAGAAACAAGAATAGCATAGCATCGAATCAAATCAGAATTAGAAGGGACCTTGGAGGTCTTCTAGTCCAACCCCCTCTGCTCCAGCAGGAAACCCTATCTCATTTCAGACAAATGGTTGTCCAATCTCTTCTTAAAAACTTCCAGAAGTGATGATGTCCTAAGTCAAGGACTACCTTTTATCCACTGGATGTTTATCCTCAATGGAAGGCAGGAAGAGGCTGGTTGCAATTTTTTTCCTCTTGCAGTCCTAACTATCTGTTGAAGTCTGTACCTGTCCTGTTTTGTTGCTGTGGCAAACCAGAGTCCAAAGGACAAGACTCTTATCGTTCCTCTGTAGAAGTGGATCAGCAGATCCTTGGGCACTCTGACCTTTCTGAGTTGAGCTGCCTGTTGAAGGAACGGCTCACACGGACGATGATTTCATGCCTGGCTATTCTGTGGGCCTCTTCCCCCCATCTTCCAATCTTGCACTGCTCCTTTTTGAGTTTTGTCTACGCTCAGGCTGCTGTCAGCTTTGATGGTGTCCAGCCGCTGTGTTCTTTGGCAGGCTGGTTTCCTTTCACCGCTAACTCTTCCAAGCATAATTTGCTTTCACCGGTGATTACCTCCGCATGACATGGCCAAAATAGGCGAGGCACGGTTTTGTGATTTTTTTTGCCTTGCCAGAGACACGCCTGGTGTTATGCGCTCCAGTACTTGCTTGCTGGGCCGCCTTTGCTGTTCAACCCACATTATATGCACGTCTACCAATAAAGAAAGATATTTGTAGCTCACGGGTGAAATAGCCATAGCACTTAGACTTATATACCGCTTTACAGTGCTTCACAGCCCTCTCTAAGCGGTTTACAGAGTCAGCATATTTCCCCCAACAATCTGGGTCCTCCTTTTACCCACCTTGGAAGGACTTTGGGAATTGTTCCCACCCCCCAAAGTCCAAAAGACTCTTCCAATTAAAAGTTCTGAATATGATCATGTGCGCATCTTCAGGTGGTGATGAGGCCTCTGTCCGTTGACCTTGACATATTTTGACAAAACTTTGCAGCTGCGCAAAGGATAGAAAGACTAGGCAGGGAAATAGAAGCTTAAGAACAGGAATTTATACTCCCCCTCCTCCTTCCCATTTACAGCATAGGAATGTAACACCTCCAGCTTTCTTCCCCTCCAATTCCCCCCTCCCCCTGTTACTAATGACAGCCGAAAGATGGAGCAGTAAGAAAGATGCAAGGCAGCACAAAAGATGTAGAAGGGATCATCTTGAAGGCTGACAGAAAGGCTGAGTCAACCTGGAGCCTGGTGGGATTTGAACTGCCAAATTTCAGGCAGCCAGCCGTGAGCAGAAGTAGCCTGCAGTACTGTACTTTTATCCACTGCGCCCCCGAGGCTCTATAAATGAGGGGTCCTTGCTTGTTTTCTTGCAGATGTTTACTAGGTAACATCATCAGTGCTAGAAGGGAGTGAGATTTGTGAGGAGGGGAGGGAAGAGGAGGAAGGAGGAGGATGCTACCTAGTTAGGGTAATGAAACATCGGCAAGAAAACAACCGAGCTCAGAGAATACCAAGGACCCCTTATATGCACGTATAAAATCTGATAAATTTAATCAGGATTCTGATTGAGTCAGCATACTTTTCCCCAGAAATCTGTTACCCAAAGGTAGTCCTCAGTTTGCAACCACAATTGAGTCCAAAATTTCCAGGGCTAAGCGAGACATTGGTTAACTAATGTTTGTTCCATTTTATAACCTTGGCTTGGGTTCTTGCCCTGCTCCCCTGCATGACCCCTGTCCTTCTGTGCCTCTTTGCTCCCCACATGTTACCATTGCTAAGAAAATCCACACACCCCACCCCCAATCCTTGTTTCTTTCCTGCTTCTCCATCCCAAGCAAGATTCTGCCTGGAGGGGGCCCTGATTTGGGTTTTTTTCCCCCCTCCATGGACACAAATGACACGCTAGCAGTGTTTCAATACCTCAGGGGCTGCCCCAAAGAAGAGGGAGTCAAGCTCTTCTCCAAAGCCCCCGAGGGCAGGACAAAGAAACAATAAGGATGGGAACTGACTTCCGGTTTGTCGGCTTCGCTAGCGGCAGGGATTCGCGATACTGCGCGATCCCTGCGGCGCTAGCCGTTTTGGTGCCTCCGATCCAGACGGGTTTGGAGGCTAAGGCTGCCCTGCAGGGGCGGCTGAAGACAGGGGGGATCCGGAGAGGGGTTTGGGGGTGTTGCAGACCCCCTCCCCGGCTGGCAAAACCCCCTTTTCTCAAGACGGTGCAGCGGCGGTCCGTAATGGCCGCCACAAAGAAGCCGGCAGCTGGGTAAGAATGTACAGGAGGAAGAGGAGAAAGTTTTTTTTAAGTGAAAGTTTTTCTTGGCTGACCCAGGACTTTAAGATATATTTAACATCCTGAAAATTATGGCTTTCTGAATGATACTTTCCAGAAGAGAACTATAAGCGGCAATTTTGAGGTGCTGAAAGGAAAGTTTACTCTCCTTCCCTATGGAATCAACAAATGGATATTGAGAAACTTGTCTTTTTATAGAAAGTTAAAACTTTTTGGTCGTTTTTTTGATTGATATTACCCCAGGAAGAGAAAGTGAGAACTTTGTTTTGGCTTGGACTGAGTGGTGACTTTGGGATTTTGGGACTGTTCTAACTTTTGAAACATCTTGGTTGTTATAAGAAGAAAGAGGAAAAAAAAGAAAAGAAAAGATTTATAATGGCTTTTTCCGTTGAGGAACTGAGAAAAGAATATGAACAAACAAAAAGAGAGGGCAAGGACGCTGTAAAGGAAGCTTTTCTCTTTTTAGAAATGGCGCTTGCTATTTATCAACAAACACAACAACAGATGGAGGCAGCAACAGAAGAAGAAGAAGAAGAAGAAGAAGAAAGAAGAAAGAAGAAGAAAGAAGAAAGAAGAAGAAGAAGAAGCCATCTTTGATGAATCTCAAAATTTAATTAAGAAAGAGAGGAGAAAGAGAGGAAGGAAAATGAAGGACTTAAGATTTAAAAAAACACCCAAGAAAGAGAAAAATAAGATGCAAAATCAATATAATGCTAGAAAACAAAAGAAAAAAGGAACACAACAGAGAAGGGAAGCTAACAAGGCAGAGGCTAGGAGAAGGGGGGGTAGAAAGGCCTGGTGGGAGAAGAAAGAAAGGGAAAAGGTGGAGAAAAGCCACAAAGCTTTGAAACCAGATGGGAAAAGAGGAATTTTTTTTAGGGACAAAGGGTAATGTATAATTTGTTTAAAAAAAAAGATTCTGCAAGGTACATAAGATGGTACTGTAGCATTTGTATTAGAAATAGAAAATTAGAATGGTTTAAGAGTTAATAAGAGATTAAAATATTGAAATGTTTAGTAATGTATTTAATCATTTTGGATTTATTATTTTTCTTTTTTAAAAATTAGTAGATAGAATGTACCAAGCAGAATCAGATTGGGTATTAGGTGTTATTTTAAATGTTAATTTAGGGGGATGATAGAAAGGCATCATACTCTGATTAGTGATTTCAGGAGAAACTCTTTTTTCTTTTTACTATAGGGAATGAGACAAATGGATAATAAAGAATGGACAAAGGATACAAATATAATGACTTAAATTAAAATGAATTAAATAAGATAGAATTAAGAAGAGTGAAATGTATGGAGAAGCTAATTTAGAAGACATAGAATGGTAAATAAAATAGGTAATGGCATGTAAGATGAGCATGAATATAATTGAAGTCCATGTAGAGAGAGGTTTCCTAAAAGATCTTTTATATTTTTGTGTTTTGTGTGTTTATGTATGTGGGAGAATTAATAAAACCTTGCAGGAATATAGAATGAGAATAATGGTAACCAAGTCAGAGAGAAATAGATGATAATTATAAATTGGATAAATATAGAGAAAAATAATAATAGTGAAATTGGATAAGAGTAAAGAGTAATAAAGAGAAATTGGATAAGAGATATTTGTATGCTCATATGGAAAGGGTCTAAAATAGAATTATATTGTATAAAATAATGTTTTATTTGACTTGTAAAATTTATAATGGAAAGAGGTTCATGTATTAATGGTTAATGATGGTTTGTTTGTCTTTAAAATTAATAAAACTTGTTTAAAAAAAAAAAAGGATGGGAACTGATCAAGGAGAGAAGCAACCTGGAACTAAGGAGGAATTTCCTGACTGAGAGAACAATTAACCAGTGGAACAACTTGCCTCCAGAAGTTGTGGATGCTCCAACACTGGAAGATTTTAAGAAGAGACTGAACAGCCATTTGTCTGAAATTTTATAGAGTTTCTGGATGAGCAGGGGGTTGGACTAGATGACCTCCAAGGTCCCTTCCAACCCTGTTATTCTATTCCTATTCTATTCTAAATATCCAGAAGGAATTCCTGGGCCTCATTCACACCTGGACATCCTCCCTCGAAAACCAGCCCTGCATAGTTTGTGCACAGAACGTTTTGCACGTCCCAGCGTGATGCTTGTTCCGTTTTTCGGGATTTCTGACTTGTATACCAATACGGGTGTAGTCCTCCACAACTGAGCCCAAAATTTATGCGGCTAAGTGAGACGGCTGTTCAGTGAACGACACCCCATTGTTCGACTTTCCTCGCCACCTTTGTTAAGAGGATCACTTGCGGTTGTTAAGTTAGGACACACGGTTATTAAGTGTGAATCTGGCTTCCCCATTCACTTTGCTTGTCAGAAGGTCTCAAAGGGGGATCATGTGACCGCGGGACAGTGCGACCGTCATAAATGTGAGGCAGTTGTCAAGGGTCTGAATATAAACCCCATGGCACTAGCACTGATGATGTTACCTAGTTAGGGTAATGAAACGTGTGCAAGGAAACAACCAAGCTCAAAGAGCATTGTCTTCTCTTCCTCCTCCCTCTTCCTCTTTCCTCCCTTCTTCCCCCTCTTCTTCCTCTTCCTCTTCTTCCTCTCCTCTTCTTCTTCCTCCTCCTCCTCCTCCTCCTCCTCTCCACAAACCCTTCTAGCACTGATGATGTTACCTAGTTTGGGTAATGAAACGTGTGCAAGGAAACAACCAAGCTCAGAGAGCATTGTCCTCTCTTCCTCCCCCCTCTTCCTCTTTCCTCCCTTCTTCCCCCTCTTCTTCCTCTTCCTCTTCCTCCTCCTTCTCTTCCTCTTCTTCTTCCCCTTCCCCTTCTTCCCCCTCTTCTTCCTCTTCATCTTCCTCCTCCTCCTCTCCACAAGCCCTTCTAGCACTGATGATGTTACCTAGTTTGGGTAATGAAACGTTTGCAAGGAAACAACCAAGCTCAGAGACCACCAAGGACCCCTCACGTCATCCCTGAGCTACAAACATTCTCCTTTATTTGGTGCTGCTCTTAAGTTCCCATATCTCCCTGCTCAGCCCTGGCTAAAGACACCCCCCCCCCCCCTCCCTCCCCTTCCAGTGGCTGTCACACGGGGCTGACTCCAATGGCAGTGGGGTCGCGGTACTCTTAGAACTGGCCAGGTTGTTCTCCCGGCTCTACACGTACAAGAGGACCCACGCCGCGTAAGAACGGGATCGGCTTTGGGGTAGGGAAAACCCCCCCGCACGAGGCAAGGCGGTGGGATGCGCGTTCTCCCCTTAGAAATGTCCCCATTGCCTCATTCTCTTCTCTGCACAGGTACAACCTGCTGTTCTTTGCCTCCGGAGGCGGCAAGTTTAACTATCAGGGGACGAAGAGGTGGCTGGAAGACAACCTGGACCACACAGGTGTGAGCGGAGATTATCGTAGTCTTTTATATGCTTGGGATTTATGGAGAAAGATTTGGCTTATGAGGTAACTAAGGAGAGGAAAGGGGCTGTTGGATAGAAGCCTGGCCGCCTGCTTTAAGTGGCAGAAGAGGGTATAACCTGGACTGTATTAGCTATTTATGGGCCTCGGGACAATCCTCACTTTTTTATTTTTCAATTGTTTATTCCTTTAATTCGATTTTTTTTTATGGCTGCCCATCTCGTCAAAGTTGACTGGATGGCTGGGTGATACCACCCCGTCAAGTGAGAGCCCAAAACAGACAATGTATAAAGCGAATTCAGACAATCCTCGACTTCATGGCTGCACTTGAGCCAGAATTTTTCTTTGCTAAGCCAGGCCGTTGTAAACGGGAGTTTTGTACCCGTTTTATGATCTTTTCTGCTGCCGTTGTTAAGCGAATCGGTCATTGAGCGAATCTGGGTTCCTCCCACTGATTTTGTCAGAGGTCTGCCTGGAAGGCCACAAACGGTGATCCCGTGACCTCAGAAAAGTGCCGCTGCCGTAAATACATGCCAGTTGCCAAGCGAATTTTGATCACACAACCAAATTTTGATCATGGTGTGAAATAGTGCGAAAACCGGTCATAAGTCACATTTTTCGGTGCCGTTGTAACTTGGAACGGTCACTAAACAAATAATTGTAAGCCGAAGACAACCTGTAATGCCCTTTTGGGAAGCCCTGTTCACCGTCAATTAGACCCTGGTGGCCTCCTGTCTGGACTACAATATGTTGTACCTGGGGCTGCCCTTGAAGTCCTTTCAAAAGCTTCTTCAAGTACGGGTAGTTCTCGACTTACAACAGTTCGTTCAGTGACCATTCAAAGTTACAACGAAAGAAAGTGACTTATGACCGGTTTTTCACACTTAGAACCATTTGAAGCATCCCCGTGATCACGGGATCAAAATTCAGATGCTTGGCAACTGAACCCATGATGGTCACAGTGTCCCGGGATCCCATGATCTCCTTTTGCGACCGTGTGACAGGCAAAGCCAATGTGGAAGCCGGATTCCTTTAACAACCGTGTGACTAAGCTAACATTACTGCAGTGATTTTGCTAAACAACCGTGGCAAGGAAGGTCGTAAGATGTCTCCTTTAGCCACATAAATTGTTGGGCTCAATTGTGGTCGTAAGTCGAGGACGGGGTGCCTGTACAGAATGCGGAAACACAGGTAGTAAAATGGTGCCAGTGATTTAGCCCAGGTAACACCACGATCCGTGTCTGTGGAGATTCTCAAGGTCCTGGTTGTCCCAAAGGTGCTTTTTTTTTTCCCAAGAGGTAGCTGGACTTTCTGTTTTTTCTTTGAAGACGTTTCGCTTCTCCTCCAAAAAGCTTCTTCAGCTCTTCTTCTGGGAGGAGAAGCGAAACGTCTTCAAAGAAAAAACAGAAAGTCCAGCTGCCTCTTGAAAAAAAAAGCACCTTTGCCCCAATCTGTGAGCTGCATACACCTGTGGGCTTCTGGGCGCGATTCAAGGTGCCGATTGTCCCCTTTTAAATCAGGGGTCTTCAAACTTGACAGCTTTAAGACTTGTGGACTTCAACTCCCAGAATTCCTCCTCCAGTCAGGTTAGCTCAGGAATTCTGGGAGTTGAAGGCCATAAGTCTTAAAATGGCCGGTGTTGAAGGCCCCCCATGTTAGACCAGGGGTCTTCAAACTTGACAGCTTTAAGACTTGTGCACTTCAACTCCCAGAATTCCTCCTCCAGTCAGGTTAGCTCAGGAATTCTGGGAGTTGAAGTCTACAAGTCTTAAAATGGCCGACGTTGAAGACCCTATGCTAGACCAGGGGTTTTCAAACTTGACCGCTTTAAGGCTCGTGGACTTCAACTCCCAGAATTCCTCCTCTCGGTCATGTTAGCTCGGGAATTCTGGGAGTTGAAGTCTACAAGTCTTAAAATGGCCGACGTTGAAGACCCTATGCTAGACCAGGGGTTTTCAAACTTGACAGTTTTAAGACTTGTGCACTTCAACTCCCAGAATTCCTCCTCCAGTCAGGTTAGCTCAGGAATTCTGGGAGTTGAAGTCCACAAATCTTAAACTTACCCTTGTTTTAAAGGGTTGTAAAGCCCTTTATGGCTTGGGACTGTCTTTCTCCCCCATTGTTTCTACCTGTTCATCCAGTTAGACAGGGCGGGCATGATTTAGGTCTTATTGGTTAAGGAGCACAGGTTGATGGGGCTGAGATGCGCCCTCTCTGCTGTAAATCTCGCTTTCTGGAACATTCTTCCTGTTGAGATCACGATGGTCTTGATCCTGCGTGCGTTTCACAAGACCTTAAAGACCTGCCTCTGTGCCCAGACTTGAGGCCCCAACTGTATGCAGGGCCCTATTTCTTAGTGGTGTTGCAGGTAGTCCTGGACTTACGACCACAATTGAGTACAAAATTTCTGTGGCTAAGTGAAACATTTGTTGAAGTGAATTTTGCCCCCATTTTATGACCTTTCTGGCCGCAGTTGTTGAGTGATTCACTGCAGTTGGTAAGTGAGTAACATGGTTGCTAAGTGAAACCGGCTTCCCCATTGACTTCGCTTGTCGGAAGATTGCAAAAGAGGATCACGTGACCCCTAGGGACACTGCAACCATCATAAATGTTGAGTCAGTTGCCAAGTATCTGAATTTTGAGCATGCGATCAACGGTCCTAGGGGTGAAAAATGGTTAAGTCCCTTTTTTTCGGGTGCTGTTGTGACTTCAAACAGTCACTTAAGTGAACTACGTCGAGGGCTGCCTGTAACTCTGTAGCTTTTTCTAATTCCAGATTTCAGCCTGCTGCAAGATAACGTGGCATTTGTCCTCTGCCTGGACACGCTGGGTAGAGGCAACAGTCTTCACCTACACGTCTCAAAGCCTCCCAAAGAAGGGACCCTCCAGCACACCTTTCTGAAGGAGCTGGAACAGGTAAAGGGGGGAAATGGGATGCCTTTGGGATGAGGGCTGAGGTAATAGCTGCCTCCTTCCCCAGCCTGGGTGGTTGGATTTCTCTTCCCCCTCTCCTCTGGGAAGCTGTCCTGTTTTCTCCAAAAATACAACCTACCCTGAAAGTAAGTTCTGGCTTGATTTTTATACATGCGCCCAATATAAGCCCTACCCCCCCCCCAAAATAAGCCCTAATTAAGATCCCATGGGTAAAACTTAAGCTAAGGTGGGGATGGGTGTGTGTGGAGCTGCCCTACTACTTACCTTTGGACAGTTGTAGCCAGGCCTGGCACACCCCGACACCTGCCTCACGGGCCCATTTCTTTTGCAGCTGGCAAGGCTTTTCTGAAGGCCTCTGGAGCTGATAACAAAGCTCTGGATCGATCCTGAGCTCTGTTATCGGATGCAGAGGCCTTTAGGAAAGGCTTGCCGGCCGCAGAAGAAGGAGTTCCTGAAGGCCTCTGACAGCGAAAAGGAGGCCGGGGGCGACACGCACAAGTGAGGTTAGTCAGTGGCTGACGTCCCCCCCCCAAAATAAGACCTGGTGCCTTTTTTGGTGGCAAAAAATAAAATAAAATAAGACAGGGTCTTATTTTCAAGGAAAGCATGGTAGCAAACAA